ATGAGTTTCAATTGAATCGTGTGAGTATCACTGAAACTTCTAGGCAATACTGAAACATTCGTATCAATATTGATGGGAACATTTACAATGTTACCCTTGAGACCGAATTGTTTACAAGATCCTAAACTTCGAATAACCATAAAAGGAATTCTTGGCGATATTAATCTTTCTTCTAATTCAGTCAAGATTTTCAAACAATCCGGTACTTCATAGAATGCTAAACCATTAGATAGACTGAGATTAGGTACCTTATTCGACATGATGTCCTTTCTACAAGTGACACATCATTTAATGATCGCATGTTTTAGATAACAAACTGTATCGATAAATTCTGCTTTTAATCCTTTGTTTGTTAACATCTCAACTGTATACTCTCTGATTGAATACTCAAACCATAAACCACCGCAACAACTACAAATATGAGTAGGTCCTTCTTTTATTTTTGATTCATAATTTGATTTCATGCCATCAAAATTACTTTTGTATTTATCTCTATTATTGTGTATTCTTAATGCATTTCTTTTTCTCTCTTCTTCTTTGAATTCATCATCTTGTCGTGCAATTTTCAGAGCTTCGGCTCTTCTTTTATTATCTTCTGTTTTGAATTCATCATCTTGTCGTTCAATTTTATGAGAATTTGCTCGTCTTCTATTGTCTAACAAGCGAAATTCATTATCAGTTCTTCTTTCTCTCATTCTTCTTGTTATCTCAGTATTTCCCTGAGATGTAGATCTTTTTTTAAGCTTTACCATTTCTTCAAACTAGCTCAAAATACTTTTGATATGACTGATTTTTTTCCAGACCGTAGATAATGAAATAAAATACGATCAAATTAGTCGTTAAAATTTTAAATGAAAGCAGCTTCTGACTCAGATTACGCACGTGTATATACCGAGTGCGTCTTCTACTTAGTGAGACACGCGTTTATCTCTAAACTTAGTGAGATAAAAAAATGCAAAAGTTTCTTTCGAGATAAATCTTCGTTAAGACTTGGTGAAGAATATATACTCGATACGAAGCAAGAAACTTTAGAGAATCAACAACTTGATAATCTTTTTTGAATAATAAAAATTCAATTTTTATTTCTTTTGTTTGAACAAAAAGTTTATTGTTTATTTCCTTTATTTGAACAAAAAATTCGATTTTTATTTCCCTTATTTGATTGAAAATAACTAAAATCTAAAAATGAAAAAAAAAAACTAATGAGGATGATTTTAATAACGGAAAGAATTTCATTTATAAATGAAAATAAATGCTGAATTAAATTTTGATTTAGTTTGTATAGATTGTCTTTTATTGAGTTCAAGATATGAATCAAAAACAAAGGAATGATTGAAAAAAGTATATACGTTTGAGACAAAACTTCTTTTTATTCGATACAAGAAAAAAAAATGGTTATAAACAATTTTTTTCATAAGTGTACAATATGTTTTTTTTAGATGCCTTTTATTCATCTGATGAAGAAAAAAAACATCATATTGATGTTGTTATTAGTAAATGACGAACAAGAAAAGCTTTATTTTTTTTTTAAAGTTTCTGTAAATAATTCGGCACTAAAATGGAAAATGCAGTTTAATTTAAGCCAAATAAAAAATTAATTAAATCATACATTGTTGATTTGAAAGCATCTTTCAATATTGCCATTTGTTGTTCATTATTTTCTTTTTTTTTTTAGGAATTTTTGGCAATTGAGAAATACTCTTGATATTTCTCTCTGTTATATGGATATTAACAGCTTCAAGACCTTTAATTGCTACAAAACAGAGAAGTATGATTTATTTTATGATGAAAGTCAGATAAATTACTTTTGATTACATCGAATTTACATTTATCCGATAAGAAAAACTTTCTTTGATAAGATTGGTTGATAATCGATGCTTCTCGAGCAAATATGTCTTTGTATTGATTTTTATCATTACTGCAAAATATATGAGATAGAAGGTGAAAAAATGAGAATAGATGATAATTACCGTTTAAGAAAAGCATAATGCTGAACTCAATTCACTGTAATGATTGTTCCATGAACTCCGGTTTCTGAGAAAAGAATATTTCTTTTTAGTTTTTTAATTTTCAAGATGTATTACCAACAAGAAAAGGTTCATTGTTTATAGGAATAAGTACTTTATTTTTGCTTCGAATGATTGTAGGATCATTATTATCAACAATAACTCGTCGATCATCACCAACAATCATTGTTTCATTATCATCAGTAATCACTGAGTCCTTGACAAATGAATCTCCACCTGTATGAGCCATTAATTTATTCGATTTGTTTTTGTTATTCAATCTGAAATATTTCTTATATATATAATAAAATCCTATTTAAAACAAAAGGGAATTAATAGGAGTCTAACATCTGTAACTCCAACATCTGTAATATCTGGAACAGTGCTAACAAATCCTTCATCATCAAATGAAAGAGCAAAAGCAACTATATCATCATCCTAAATGTCAAATTCAGGTGATGAAATAGAAGATGATGAAAGTAATGATTCACGTGATGAAAATCGTAAAAATATCAAATATAAA